CGGCGGCCGCCACTTGGCTATCCGGCGGCCGCCACTTGGCTATCCGGCGGCCGCCACTTGGCTATCCGGCGGCCGCCACTTGGCTATCCGGCGGCCGCCACTTGGCTATCCGGCGGCCGCCACTTGGCTATCCGGCGGCCGCCACTTGGCTATCCGGCGGCCGCCACTTGGCTATCCGGCGGCCGCCACTTGGCTATCCGGCGGCCGCCACTTGGCTATCCGGCGGCCGCCACTTGGCTATCCGGCGGCCGCCACTTGGCTATCCGGCGGCCGCCACTTGGCTATCCGGCGGCCGCCACTTGGCTATCCGGCGGCCGCCACTTGGCTATCCGGCGGCCGCCACTTGGCTATCCGGCGGCCGCCACTTGGCTATCCGGCGGCCGCCACTTGGCTATCCGGCGGCCGCCACTTGGCTATCCGGCGGCCGCCACTTGGCTATCCGGCGGCCGCCACTTGGCTATCCGGCGGCCGCCACTTGGCTATCCGGCGGCCGCCACTTGGCTATCCGGCGGCCGCCACTTGGCTATCCGGCGGCCGCCACTTGGCTATCCGGCGGCCGCCACTTGGCTATCCGGCGGCCGCCACTTGGCTATCCGGCGGCCGCCACTTGGCTATCCGGCGGCCGCCACTTGGCTATCCGGCGGCCGCCACTTGGCTATCCGGCGGCCGCCACTTGGCTATCCGGCGGCCGCCACTTGGCTATCCGGCGGCCGCCACTTGGCTATCCGGCGGCCGCCACTTGGCTATCCGGCGGCCGCCACTTGGCTATCCGGCGGCCGCCACTTGGCTATCCGGCGGCCGCCACTTGGCTATCCGGCGGCCGCCACTTGGCTATCCGGCGGCCGCCACTTGGCTATCCGGCGGCCGCCACTTGGCTATCCGGCGGCCGCCACTTGGCTATCCGGCGGCCGCCACTTGGCTATCCGGCGGCCGCCACTTGGCTATCCGGCGGCCGCCACTTGGCTATCCGGCGGCCGCCACTTGGCTATCCGGCGGCCGCCACTTGGCTATCCGGCGGCCGCCACTTGGCTATCCGGCGGCCGCCACTTGGCTATCCGGCGGCCGCCACTTGGCTATCCGGCGGCCGCCACTTGGCTATCCGGCGGCCGCCACTTGGCTATCCGGCGGCCGCCACTTGGCTATCCGGCGGCCGCCACTTGGCTATCCGGCGGCCGCCACTTGGCTATGGGTACCCAGGTTGCGGTATAGCATATCTTGATGTAGAACTAGAACAGGCCATTAAAGCGCATTATTGGCCTAGCATTTAATATACGGTAGCATTTAGTCTAGCTATTCATTTTAGCTACAGCTTGTAATAGCTTATAGGCCTAATAGCAGTCATATAGCCATTCACAAAATATATCTATATCTTTGCTGTAGCACATCAACTGTATTACGGTATATGTTCTATTTTGCTGTTTATGTGAGTGTGATATTGTCTGTTATGGCTGGGTTAAATATTAAAGGGCATTAAATAGTGATTAAAAGCATACAATTAGCTGGTCACCAGCTATACCTTATAATGGCAGTCAAAGTGTTAGCAATTACATGGTTAAGTATTAAATAGCGATTAAAAGCATGTTCGTAGCTGTTATACAATAGCTATAGCTTATAATAGCAGTCATATAGCGCCCATTTCACAAAATATAATATCACTAGGAAGCATTAAATAGCGATTAAAAGAATGTCATTAAATAGGCGTTTGCGATGATAGGCGTTAGGTTTAAGCACGTCATCAGGCGTTTGCGACGATAGGCTTTAAAGATAAACATGTCAGCCATTTTACCATGTCCGCTAATAAATAGGTGTTCGCACCAGCCATTGTATTAATGAAGAGGAATAGGGTTAATAAGATTTTCAGACTGAGTCGCCAGTAGGAACTGTGTACACTAATTTATAGGCATTTTCACCGGTCATTTGCAATTGAATATTTTATTTTTCCTATTTTTTATCGTCGCAAACGTCAGTGGTAAAATACTGACCCGCTCCAAACTTAATCCACAAAATAACCATATAATCTATCGGCGCAAACGCCTGATGTGCTTAATTCTAAAGCCTATCGTCCGCAAACGCCTATTCAATGGTAAACCAGTGACGTGCTTAACCATAATGCCTGTTGTTGCAAACCCCTGACGTGCTTAACCCTAACGCATATCTTTGCAAACGCCTATTCACCTGATGTGCTCAACCCTAATGCCTATCATCGCAAACACCTATTCAATGATAAACTGCTGGCCTATAACTATAACGAATATCATTGTTCAACGGTAATCTGCTGACGTACCTAAACCTATAGGCGCAAAAGTAAATGGTAAACTGCTGGCGTGCTTAACTCTAACGCCTATCATCGCAAGCGTTGTGTAAAAAATGCAGTTAAACCATTGTGACAGCTACTAACATGCTTTTAATCAGTGATTGCTATATTTTGTGATATTGGTGCTATAATATAATTGATATTATAGCTAGATTGTGACCAGCTACCATGCTTTTAAACACTACCGTATTTAATGCTTAATTTTAATCGCTATTTAATACTTAACCCTGTAATTGCTAATATTTTTTGAAATTGGTGCTATATGACTTAATGCCCTTTAATATTTAACTCAGCTATAACAGACAATATCACAATTATATAAACAGCAAATGTAGGACATTTGATGTGCTACAGCAAAGATATAGATATATTTTGTAAAATGGCTATGACTGCTATTATAAGCTATGACAAGCTGTAGCTAAAATGACTAGCTAGGCCTATTACGATCATGCGCTTTATGGCTATGTGGCGGCCGCCAGATAATTATGTGGCGGCCGCCACATATTATCTGGCGGCCGCCAGTTAACTGATTTGTAATTTTTATTCACTGTTGACACTAACTGGCTTCCGTAGATTTGAATGCAAAGCCAAAATTAAAGTGTTTTTAAATCGTTGTCTTTGTTATTTCTTTTCATGTACATGCACTTACAATAATTAAAACTGCATTAATAAAAATAATATTAAAATGATATTAATAAAAATTATACAAAGGTATATAGAATAACTAATGATAATAACAATACACTTGGGGTTGTTTGACATGAGGCCGTGTTGACTTGGGGCCGAGGTGACTGGGGCCGCTAGTTGACTTGGGGCTGAGTTGACCTGCTTCCGCCTGGGGAGGGGGGGGGCTAGCAGTTAGGACGTAACTCTGCTTGGAACTAGGCCGTTCTACTAGGCCCACTAGTTTAGCCTCTTTTGCTTTAGCCTTTGATAGGAATGTACCTATTTACCACTATACTATAGAAGGGGGTACTAGCTGTTATTGTTGTTGTTGTAGTACAATGATAACTAACATACAAGTAGCTCACAGTTAGTTACAGACGTAGCCTACATCCCATAAATTGGTAAGATTTCATAGGCCTGACGTAGGTAAACATATATGAAGAACAGTACAGAAGGTACTAATAGAATACTCGAGCGTCACGACATTGTGAAGTGCCTGCGCTTGTTCGTATATCAAACTTGAGTCGAATCAATCCGAGACGACCCGAGTGGAGTTTCATGCAAATGTTTCGTACGGGAAAAAAAATCGCAGCCGGCGCCCATATGGGACGGTAACTGTCTGGTACTGCACTGCTATTCAGCTATCTCGTAAATTAAGATTGTACTGTAAATGTCAATCTAGCCGGGCAAAGGCAAGAATTTGTCCACCGGGTCCTGGCCTGTGTAGGCCTACCTGCTTATCTGTACCTGTATACAACCTGAGTTAGTTAGATCCAACCTTAGTATAGTAGATTGTATACAGTCCATGATGATACAACCAGAGAGCTGGAATGTTCTTCTAGGTCCTATTTATTTATTTTCCCAACCAACAGCAAACACAAAGTTCGCCACTTACAGGAGGGAACACAAACACAATGAACAATACATGAAATACATCAAACATTAAACCAAACTACTAATGATATATGAAACATACGAAAGTCATTACTGAAAATACCTAACTCAGGATTTTTTAAAACAAGGAAATTATAACTTTGACTCAATCTACAAACATAACCATTTGTGTTTAGGCTTATTGTGTTTTGCCTTTTTTTAAACATATTATAGTGCATCAAAGATAACCAACAGAATGATGGAATTGTAACCTGGGAAAAGGGTTGTGTAAAGATCTCCACGGTTGAGCGCACACTCAGTGACTACCACCATTTTTGCGACTGAGTATGTATCAAGTTAAGTAGGGTATTCATTTTTGTAGGAATATATCGTTATTGAAAAACCTGATAATGAAATTCATTTCCGACAGGGGGATGTGTACCAAGAGGCAAATTAGAGCCTCAGTCAATGTTTTAAGGAATGAAAATCCGGGCCCTGGTAGAGTTCATGGGGAAGAGTTTTCATGGCTTAATCTGTTTTGAGACCACATTGGCAATCAAAATAACGTTCCATGGATGGCCAAATTATCATTTTTCCTCCAAAACCTCATCCTCCACTGGACCGTAGCAGTTTTAAAGGAAACTAGATGCTTGCATACAAATATTTACCGTATAGACTTGTGTATAAATGAGGCTTAAATAGCAAATTACAATACAAAAACAGTGGGGTCCTCTTATTTGCACAACACATACACATTTTTTATTTTAAATTTTGTTTGTCTTATGAGCAGATCGTCTGTAACATGAAAATTTACTACTGAAATGAAGCTATTAACTGTTGGAATGAAAATTTGGAATGCTGGGAAATATTATTTTGATGAACATTTAAAAGCCCATGGTAATACTTGGAAATAGATCGACCGTACATTTGATTTTTGATTTTTTTTTTGCCAGCTAGATGTGTATCAAGACCATATTAAAAAGCAGCAAAAAGTAGGATTTCTGATGGTGAAACAGGGAGGGGGGGGGGGCATCTTATATGTCAGAATATACGGTACATAATAAGTTACTGTCTGTAGAGATACACTGCTGTGAATGTTTATGATTATGATGCTTTTATCAATTTATTGGAATCTAATCATTTTCAGGCATTTCCAATCATGGAAGACAGACTATTGAAGGACGTACACAGACACAGTGGCTCTTGTTTTTGCCTACCCAAGCAAACAGTGCAGGCTGAGTTCATCTGTGGTACCTATTCTTATTACCATTATGGTTGTGATGGTTTTGATGACAGGGTAAACTACAATCAATTTTTTTATAATTTTTTTGATAAATGGTTTTTGATTACCAGTAAATAAAGGTTTACAGGAATATTCACTGTGTCCAGCTGAACATGTTTTAAACACATTTACAGGGATGGGGTTGTGGTTACCGCACTTTGCAGACACTCTGTTCGTGGATACAAAACAAGGAATTTGAACGTGAAATTGAGGCTTCATCACCACCATCTTTACCTGAAATCCAAGAAGCACTTGTTAGCATGGGTGACAAACCAAAGAAATTCATTGGCTCAAAAGACTGGATTGGATCTTTTGAAGCTTGCATATGCATTGACTACTTCTATAACGTAAGTTTACATCAAATATCATTTCAATCAAGGCACATTATTAGGGGTCCTGACTTACAAGAAGCATGAGCTTTTTTAATGCATCAATCTATTTTGCTGTGCATGGTGAAACTCAACTGTACAGACTTTCAGGAGATAATTGATAAACAATATAGTAAGGAAATATGGTAAATTTGAAGAAGGATTTCTTTTCGCAAGATTCTTGCTTACTTGCTAGAGCACAGGATTCTCCCTTTACCTGCAGGAGACGTTTGGGACACCTGTTTTATATAAAAAATATAGGCCATTGAAGAAAAAGGAACGTAAATGACGTTAAAGGTCAGTTCGCTGTTATTCCATACACTGAGGGTCAGCCAATAATGCATAAATGAAATTCATAGGATTATCATGACAACCAAATTCCCAGACAACGCCCTCAAAGCATTTTTAATTACTTTTAAAATACTATCCAATTTTTAATTTAATTAATTCCCTGTTATTTATTGTCAATAATTTAGGTGGAAGTCTGTTGTTAACCATCCAAATTCATCAGTACCTCTTTGTTTCTTCGGTTTATAATTATTATGCAAAAATTATATAAATATATAATATGAAAATATTGTTTAACATCTGAGGATACTAGGATGCAACTTGAATCCATTTCACATCCTTTATGATCTTTACCCTTATTCTTATCTTTCCCTCCCTCACATTAAGGTGCCTTGTAAGGTTGAGCACATTCGAAACGGCGGGGAGCTTAAGAATGTTATCCCTATGCTGAAGCAACATTTTAAAATCATTGGCTCACCAGTAATGATGGGTATGTGTACTTGTTAGTTTGTGAATATAGATAGCATGTTCTTACAATTGCTAGTTTAAACAAGGCAATTAAACAGAAGGACGCACATCTCGGGGCATCAAAGGTTATAACTCTGGCATCGACATTCTAGGCGCATGTGCATCCCTACACGCTGAACGTCACAAAAACCATAGCAACCAGACCATAAACCATCAGCGTACGTGACGAATTACCCACGCGCGTGTTAGTTGCCATGATAATCGCGCGTCGTGCGGTGTTTACAAAGGCCTAATGATATTTTGCACTAACATTAGACTGAAATATATTCTTCATTTCAACATTAATTTTACCAAAATTGTGGTGAATTGTTGTTCATGAGACTCACTTCGCAGAAAAAATAAATAAATGTTCTGTATATACTCAAATGTTCGTTTTCGGCACCTTATGCCAACATTGTCAAAATGACAGATTAATGTTACATAAGAACATTTTTATAAAATTCGTAAATTTTAAATTGCTATAACTTTTCATTTTCTTTGTCAATTTTCACAAATCAAATTGCAGTTTATAGAAGCATTTAACAAGCTCGCGGTAAAAAAAAATCAGATGTAACAGACATTGCGAAGTACCCAAAATTAATAAAGTAAAAACTAACACCATACAACGAATGGCACGCATAGACTAATAATTGACGGCTGTGCTCGCAACTAGTATCGGATTCTCGATGCCACAGTAAAGATCAAAGGACTGTACGCACGCGCTATGTTCGAGAGTGGAGACGTGCGTCCTTCTGTTGAATTACCTTGGTTTAAATACATTACGGAAACCAAAATGTGTAATAATATTCACAAGGATGATTTTTAGCATCAACAATTATTTTATGTACTTAAGCCCTGTCCAGACAATCAAGTTTGACAAAACATGTGACATGCCTAAATATGGTCATGATGACATCACATCATGACCATATATAGGCACATATATAGCGCATAAAAATAAAGAAATTTTCTCACTGAATCGTTACTCGAACTAGATAGCAAAAGCTCTGTAATGACGCAGAGGTTCTGTTTTTGCCTGATATTAGTTTTGAAATTGTGCTTGTTATTTTGCTTGCATATTTAATCAAAATATTGTTATGTACTAACAGGTGGTGAATCAGATACTTCATCTAAGTGCATTCTAGGGGTTGCTGAAGGAATATTGACGAGTTTACTAATTTTAGTAAGAAAAAGTTTCAGATATACTTTGAACATACCAGACTCTCTGCTCTCTTTCATTTAACACCACACTCATCTTATTTCCCTACTCTCTCCTTCAATCAGCCATTTCCATCATGTACCATTCTGTTTGCTCACCCCTCTTTTGTACTGTATTTACTTCATCCACCTTTCGATTGTATTTTCCCCTTACAGCGCCGACCCCAAATCTTATGAAACATCTAGGGCTGTAAATAAACTAAAATCGAAAATAAACATAAGGACCAAAAAGATAAAAAATTCCCGCCATGCCATAAAAAAAGAGAAATTAAATAATAATTAAAAATAGAATTAACAATAAAGCAGAGCACTTGGTAGAATAATGTATTGCCTGCTCAGGAATAGGAAAATTATGTTAAATTGATAATATCACATTTGACTTCAAAATTCATGATGATATTAATGATAAATGAAAATAATATTTCTTGCTTATTTATCAGGATCCACATTTCTACGGTCAGAGTACTAAAGACATAATACAAGCAGAAGGCTGGGTGAAATGGAGGCCACTGGATTCATTTGTGGAGAGTTCCTTTTACAATCTATGCCTTCCACAGTATAAAATTAAGTAAGCAATTAGTCATTCTGTGTAGTGTTTTAGCTTTGGAATTTTAAATTATTGGTACTAGATTTAGTAAAAAATCTCTCTTATATAGTGCTGTTTTACAATACTGTAATTGTAAGTATAAGAAGTAATTGTAAGCAAGTGCCTATTTTGCTTATATACGTTGTCATCTTCTCATATATTTCTATTAATGTGCGGCATATTGACCATTGGCAGATTCAAGGGCCCCACTCCCCCCCCCCCAAAATTGTTACACTTTTTTTTTTAAATGGAGATATAATAAAAATTATCCAAATTTTAAGTCTGAGAGTGCAATTTCCGGCCATCTAGAGGTGCTATAATCACAAATGTTCTTGCCTCAGCGTCAACCATAGTGGGGCTGAGGTGGTATAGATTCTCCATCAGTGAAAGTACATCCCCGGGTCCCCTCAATTCTGAATTCCGGGATCCACCATTGCTGACAATCTTAAATGCAGTGGCGTATCTAGTGGGGTGTGCAGTGGGGAGCATGCCCCTCCAAAATTTACTCTTCCCCCAGTTTCCCGTTCCCCCAGTTTCCCCCTCCCTGGAAATCATGGTCAAGTGGTTAAAAAACACATGAAATCACCTTATTTTGCAAATTAGCACCCCTCAACTGATCATCGAGCCCCTACTTCACCTTCTCCCCCACCCCCATCAGCACCCCCATTTCAAGACTTCTACAGTAGGTACGCCACTGCTTTGATGTTGTAAGACAAAAAATCTATGCTAAAAGTACTTGACATGCTGTGAATTTCTTGACATTAATTGTTGCATTAATTATTGTAATGACCTCTGACCTGTTGCATATTACCCATTATATTGTTAATCAGTACAATTTCATCCCTTATGACTCAATATAGAGTTTTAGTAGGAATACTACAGAATTTCTGCCAAATTTCCCTTCTAAATAAAAATGAAGACAAAGTTAACATCACTTGGACAACATAGGCTTTCCATATTTTGTTCACACAATGAACAACTCCATGGAATTGTCACCTGAAGAACTTCACTATGTAAATGGAAGCTTATGATTGTTTTTTAATGTGCTCTCTATAATGTACTTCAGATGTTTTAGCTATTAAATTTTTTTTTATATTGTAAGCATTTGTTATTTGTCAAAGGACCTCCACTCAAAAAGTTTAGTTTTAGGGTGTTTTTGTCTCATGTGCTTTTGTGCTTGGTCTTTGCTGTTTCTGTTTTTTTAAATTTCAATGTTTGAGGCAAATAATAAAAATTCTTTAAGTGTGACGTTTTTAAATTTGCTTTTTATTCTACAGTTATTGCATTGTACTGTGTTTGTTTTGTATTTAATATATTTTATATGTAATTGTTATTATTGACTGATTTTTCTTGTTTTAATATAAAGGGAAGTAGACCAATCACTATTTATGATTTCCTGATTACAAATGAACTACTGTATCAGTTTTCTTCAGTCATGTACTGTATACTTTTAAAGTTTATTGGCCATTATCCATGGGTTAGTCATACTGTAACACTTTCAGTTTTTTTCAGTTTTACTAAAATCTTTCAGTTTCTATAATCTTAGATAAAGATTGGCGCAGTTGTGTCTCGGACTAGAGTTTTGAAACACGACCTCAAGGTCGAGTTTCAAAACTCTAGCTGTGCAAAACGCTTGCGTCCTTGGACAAGGCACTTTATCTACGTTTGTCTCTCTCCACCCAGAAGTAGGTACCTGGTATGATCTAATACCAATCACTGACTCTAGCCACTCATGGAATAGTTCTCCCCAGGGAGCTGAGGATGTGTTCAATAGGTGTTTGCTCCAGTGACTGGGAGTAATAATGTAAAGCGCATAGAGGAAGTTTATTACAATATATGCTATATAAATGTCACGTTATATTATTACACATTTATCATTTATGTATGTTTGTTGCACTGTATATGATGCTTTCACTAATAATCTAAATGAGTTTATTGTTCAGGTTATACCAATCTATTACAGGTCTTCTACAGACATACTGTACCATAAACATATACATCATTACAATAAAATTATATAAATCTGAGAAATTTATGTAAGAAAATGTGAGATACCAGTATATAATCTTTCTTGTCTACTTGCAGATGATGCATTTAACATTGTCGTTACGATGAGCATGTGGTAATTCCCAGCAACAGTTTGGAGCATGCAATGACCATCCATTGCAATAGATTCATCATTATTACATCTTGTGGGCAGTAAGCTGGTTGTGACGGTACATTCAGGAGTCCTATGGTGATTAAAAATTAATCGCAGAATAAATTCCTCGCGGAGTAGATCTATTCTCTGGAATCGGAGTATGTAGTTCCTCAGACTATTGCTTCACTTCAATTATATATTATTTATTGAACACCAATGCCAGGGTGCATAAATACAATATAAAATCACTAGATACATTGATAAAATACTTTCATTCATGATTAAAATAATTTACAACAATAATTACTATATATAGAAGGAGCAAAGAAATAATTATAATAAATATTCAAAAAATTTAAATACAATTCCAGGGCCAAAGTGAATCGTCAGTTGTTCTTATATTTGCATTATACATTTCCTTAGGATAGGAGTTATTTCCGTGTGAATCACACCAACAATATCCCACTAAAATCAACTTCTCTCTAGTGGGGTACTTTTATGGTGGCGCTTTGGGCAGTACATCAGGAGACAAACTCCTACTCTTTGCCAAAGAGTGGTATACTTCTTACTTTAATGTGCATATGAGCCATATTGCACATGGGATGAACGGCTTTAGTGGCTCATCCGTAAGACAGTGAACTATCGTAACATATATTTCAGCCTTCCAGCTGAAATACAAAAAGAGCAATGATTGGAATTAATCGTGATCAAATATATGAAAGGATTTAGATGGTTCAGCGCTAACACCAGTGAAGACGACTGAGCTAAAAGCTTCTCTGACTTTGAATAGGAGTAGGCTAATTATTTATTGCTGCAGGCTTATCATTAATTGTGTGACCTAATGTCAATTGCTTGTGTAATGTTCACAGATACAGTACTTCAATGGTGGTAGATTAAAGTGTTGACACCATTCATGTTTTAGTGATATTTGAGCATTTAATACCATAAAGTAATATTGTAATCAAGAATATGATAATCTGAAATATTAGCAGTATTTGAATTAGATAATTATTTTTATTTCAGCTTATAATCATATAAATGATTTCGGAGGTTCTTAAATACATTAACACTAGTTAATGATTAAATTGTACATTAAGAAAAAATATACTCCAGAATTTCGTTTTTTAATGTTTTTCTCTTATTATACTTGTGTATGTACCGCTTAGCATATAAGTTTCAGTACCTATAGTCACAGTGTAACACTCTTCATTGCACTGATTTCAGTAGCCTGGATTTCAGGCCCTAATTTTAGGTTACTCACTGCTTATTTTACGCCATACCTAATTTATTTGGTGTCCCCTACTCAATTTCTTTCTGTCTCAAAATTAACTTGCTTGTTGGTGGCGTAACAGGCGAGGGGAAAGGGAAAAGAAAAAGAGAAGACAAAAATAAAGACAAGAATTAAAAGGAAGATACCGTTTGATCAGAACACCCTCCACCCCCTACTCCACTTAAAAAATTGTCCAAAGAGTTACAGCGAAATAGTTGTGAGTGATAGGCCTACATGTCTGATGTAAATGAAGCTGCGGGAAGACGTAGGCCTACATCGTATTGTGGTTTTGTAGCGCCTTCGATCTAAGCATGGACTTATTATTAATAGGTCCATGATCTAAGCCGCCAGATATTCTCCGAATCCGTTAGTGCATCTCATTCCCAGGCAGGCACTTCGCGTTTTACACTCTTCTTGTATTAGTTTCTAGGACGATAAAAAAGGGCGGGGGAGCACAAATTTTAACCCTTAAAAATGCACGCAAAAAGTTTATGCAATTTCGTATGAATTGATCAAAAATCATGTCAAAACTCCCTAAAATGTGCAATTTTAGGGAGAAAGATTTCCCACTGGTTACGTCACTGGTTGAGTTAATTGAACACATAGTAGTCACAACACTAAGAGAAAGGAAAGAAGGGCCTCATTGATCCATTCTAAAATGTGAAAAAAATTACAGTAATAATTTTGTTCATGTGTACGGATGGTGAAAGAATATGGTTGTAATAAATAAAACCATAATGAAAATGCTTAGCCTATATTTAGATTCAAACAGACATGTATATGCCTAATATTATAATCCGTTAAGATTATTTTTTCTATAATTTTTTTTTTTAGGAGGGGGAGGGTATTACACCTGGTCATAAATTACTAACCAGGAAAATTATTACATTTTTGTCCTCCCCCTCCCCGTGACCCAAGCCCCTGTTAGGCGCCTGAACAGATTTAACTCATTTGCATTATCTCCAATGAGAACCACATCTGCCCAGAATAGCCAACAAATTTTAACATTATAAATGTTTACACCTAATTTTCTTTTGATAATAATTTTATTTAATTCGTTAATGTATATTGTAAATAACACTGGTGACAAAGAGCAGCTTTGTTTGACACTTTAAATTTCCGAAGGCGAGTTTTCCTTTTACATTCGCGTATGTTTTTTATAATGTTTAGTAAGCTCCTTTTTATACCCATTCGGTGAGCAGCTAAGGAAAGCCCATCCCTCCAAACGGCACTGTCAAATGCTTTCTTGGAGTTCAAGAAGGCATGGAATGTGCTCTTGTCTTTTGCTTGGCGAGTGGCAATGAAGGTTTTAAAACAAAAAATATGGTTCTCGCATCTTTTATTTTTCTGGAAGCCGCCTTGTACTTCAGAGAGAAGATTATTTTCTCCAAGAAAGTTTGACACCGTTTGGGAGATAATCCTGTTTTATATTTTAGCAATACATGAATTTAAGGTGATCCCTCTGCAGTTAATTAGGTCTCTTCTATCGCCTTTTTGATGTACTGGAATAATTGTACTCACCTTTAAATAATTATACAGTACAGTATTACTTGATTACTTTAACTAAATTATTACATATGTCGTGGTCTCCAGAGCGCTGCTTTCTCGTCACCTTCTCAATCAAAATAAGATTACATGTAATTTATAATAAATTGTAATGATTTTCAACCTTTAAAAACTTAATCGAAACCCAGGCCGTCATATGTTTTATCATTTCCACTGCAAAGTTAAGTTTTCTTGCTTGATCCAAATTAACTTTTCTTTCATTTTTTGTTTATTTAATCCACTTGTGAAAACAGTACTGCGTCATTGAAAGTGCTATTAATAAAGGACAGAATTATAAATGAATATAACTGGTTTAGAAAATATGATTTATAATTGGATTATTATTGCAATTAGATACAATGTAACGGTAATTAGATAAGATGTACATGTAATTTTATTTAAAAAACCAAACAGGCAACATCCAATAAATATTGTAGAATAATTTTCATTTTATATTGTTAATATATGTATTAAATTGTAACTCTTTTCCTTGCATTTTATTCATGTTTGGTGTTCTAAAAGGTGTATTGCAGGGATGGGCATAAAAATAGGACGTTAAGGGCCACAGTATATTTTTTATTTAACACAGAGGGTTTTACCCAACTTTTCTTTTACTACAGTACATACTTGGTGTACCGCAAGCATTTATTTTTTCCCCTGTTAATTGTTACATCATAAATTCAATAAATAACAATAAAATAGCGTAGAGGAGAGGAGTACAATACTACAGCAACATAAACTACCACCTCCCTGCATAAAAACACCATCCCACATACTGTAATTTCACAAGTATGTTTAACAGTGAACACAGGCATAAAGGGCCTAATATAATTTTATTTTTTTAAATAATATTTTGGATACGTGATTATCATTTCTAGCGAGTTTTATCTGCCGACTGTATTACGATAACCACAGTGAGGTGCGCAACTCTAGACTAAACGGAAAAAGCATTTGCAACAAACGTCCATGCTAGGTCGCCTGTAAGGCCCTCGGGTAGAGCCAAAATTTCACTCTTTTTTACTCTTTCGAGGAGTACTGTTGAAAAGCTTTAAAACAATAATAATGATAACAATAATATTATCATTATGAAATTCACTGCAGTTGTACCTTCCAAACCCAGTGTCCTGGGTTCAATTCCGGTCACTGTAACAGGGATTAAACCAGGGAGATGTAAAAAGTTATTTTTTACATCTCCCTGGATTAAACCACGACTAAAAATAACCCCTCTCTAAGCTTCTATTTTAGTTATACTTATCGTGCAGCACAGTGGTTTCAATTGTTAAACCAAAATAGATATCCGGACCGAAACTATTATTTATTATTGTGTAGTTTACTTCGATATGGTGAGCATCATGCCTATCGAGGCGGTTTGACAGGACTCTACTTTTTTTTTCTCAATTTTTTCACACCAAATTTGGAAAGCAGGAAATGTTTGTGGTCTATAAAATGTTCACACGATCCATTGTAGCTGTTCAGATCCAAGTATGGTCCAGTACGGGTATGTGCTAACTGTATTGCTTGTCGTTATAAACCTGCATTGTTCTCAAGCCGAAGACGATGACGTGGTTGAGCACATTCAACTGCCAGAGGGACATCCTCAACGTTGCAAATCCCTGTTCAAAGACAGTGATGACATGCATGTATTGGGAGTGCTTCCAGGTACAATTGTTCCTCTGTCATTGTTTCATCATTAAAATCTATTTGACAAATTAGCATTTTCAGGGCCTTAAATAACGGATTTCTGAAACCCATAATTCGTGAATACTATGATTATATAGTATTATTCTATTTAATTTTTCATTCATTTGGATGTTAGGGAAAAGCTGGCAAATAAATTGCCATTCATACTATAGCATTTCGCGATAATAGGAAACGATTTTAATGAAACGATGGTTTTAAAAAGTGGACCTTTTAAAACTTGGGATGTGTCCACAAATGTTGGCAAAATGGCCCCTGAAAAAGACCCCGGAAAAAATGGCCCAGGTATAAAATGGCGCTAAATGACATGACCTCAATGAAAAAAATTAGTAATAAAACTGATTTTTTTTTTTCTAATCTTCCAACTATTTAAATGCTGCAAAATAGCTTAAATCGATGTTTAGTAGTCCATGTGTTTTTGAGAATGAGTTATTTCTTGTTTATTTGGGAATAATTATTTTTGGGAATAGGTACAGAGCACCTTCATTGTTTATTGAAGTTTTAGTTTAATCTTAGTTATAAAATTTCAAACTAAATATACCTTATTGACTTTGTTATTAGTTTAATTTGCTTAAGTAAAATTAATTATAGCAGGTCATTTTTTTTAATAACTAGTAAATTTACCCACTTAATTTAAATTTATTTATTTTGTAATACAAAGTTAAAATATAACTTTAAAGTTTGTTAAAAAGATGCTACTGTCAAATGAGTTTTAAAAACGTTTTAACGGTAATGAAGATAAAGTATTTAATGCAGTAAGTTAAAATATAACCATAAAGACCAGTAACATTATGACAGCTATAGCATCTCTTTAAAAAAATTTGCTTAAAAACAAACTATTGAATGATTAAATTATCTTATTTAAAACAAATGATAAGTTCATTGATTAAATTATATAAAAAAAACACACCCAAACAAATAATTCAAATTGCTGAATTTTATAATGTAAATGTGCAATGAAAAAACTACATATTTTTTAAATCTTATTTATTTTATTTTTAGGTAATTGCTGCATAAAGTAATATATGGCAACCTATTTGACTTATTTTTAAAATTATTTAATTTTAAGAAATGCATGATTTATTGATTAAATTTTGGCCATTTTGCAGCATTTACATAGGAAGATTTTTTTTATCAGTTTCTTTACTAAATTTTAACATTGGGGCCATTTTTACCTATCTGTCATTTGGGGCCAATTATTTAAAAAAAGAAATATAAAAATAGAAATATTCAAATTTAAGTCTGAGAGTGCCATCTCCGACCATATAGAGTTGCCATAATCATAAATTTTCTTACCTCAGTCTCAACCATGGTGGGGTTGAGGTGTCATGGACTCCCAAGCTGTAGAATTCCTTCTCTTGCTCCCCCTCCCCCACCTCTATATCAAATTCATAAATCCGCCACTGATAGTGGGGATTCAAGAAGCCCAACTGAATTTAGTTTTCCCTCAATTTAAAAACAATAATAAAAAATAAAAATTGGGGAAAATTTGAAGGTGCCATGGTCATAAATTTTCTTAACTCAGCCTCAACCATGGTGGGGCTCCTCCATCTGTGAAAGTCCGTTCCTGGCCCCTCTTTCAAATTTCTAGATCTGCAACTGAAAACCGTATATGCATCTTCACAACTCGATTAACTAAGACCTAAAATTATCAAAAATGCCTGAGCTCCGCCCCCTCGATCCCAGCAGGATCCCCTCCCCCTAAGCAACCCCCAGCCCCCCCCCCCCCCTACTAGCGCCACCACTGAATCCACAGCCCACGTACTTGAAAGGTTTTAAGCAATTCCCGCCGTCGTCGTACAACAGTCCGGAAAAAAACCTTCGTGCTCAACATGCTGCTATTCAATGACTGGTTTATTCAACGAGTAGAGGTTTAGGCCACGGTACGTTTTTCCCGTTAGTTCTCACTCTCCAATGAGCAGTAGGACGTCTACAAGCCACAATTAGAGTGCGAGACAACGTTCCAGGCTAAACACCAACAAACTTTTTATGTTTCGCCGGTTTCCACTACTACTGCTACTATAAGTTTCTTACACAAGTTTACACCAGCGTGACCACTCACAATTTTTTATATACCCAATGGGTCGAAATTACCCAAGATTCAGCAAAAATTGCCCCAAAATTACCCAAGCTTCCTGAAAATGCATTAAAATTTGAAAAATACGTGTTTTTCGCATGTACAGTTTCCCTTTTAGTTCAATTTATAAACCATTTTTTATTGTAATTGTTTGTGTTAATTATTAAAATTAATATTCATGAGGTGATAATACAAATAGAAAAATACGCCTTCAGTCGGCCAGTGTTATCAGTGATCAAGTTTTATTATGTAATGCATTAATTAGTATAGATCAATGGCAACGCAAATCACAAATAAACAGCAATTAACAGTCAATTAACAATGTTATGTGCACTTCGTTGAGTTTTACTTACTTGAATGGACTGAAATATACTTTGTTACTTCTTAATTCTTCCTCTATGACAAAAATATTTAATTTTCTTAGTAAAAATAAAATACCCTAGGATTTGAACGGAATACCCAAGAACCCAAGACCAAGTCAAAATACCCAAGATCTTAAAGGCTTAATCAACTTGGCACTTAACCGTCTTAGTAAACAAAATAAAATGCTGTTTAATTGGGAAACGTTTACGTCTGCGTGTTAAATCTTGCAAAAGACTAATAAGTCTGATACGAGAAAGTTGTTTTTTGTCGTAACTTGCTATAACTAGACCTTTTCGTTTTTGTGTGTGTTGGTGTGTTTGTGCATGATGTTTATTGCATAAGAAAACAAATACAACAACAGGGTCCTGGATTCAATTCCTGTCACAGTAGGACTCTTTCTCACGACTAAAAACAACTCCACTCCCTAAGCCTCATAAAGAGACTTAAAGCATCATTCTCATCCTTAAGTGGCGAGTGTACTTGCTGTTGGATATGAAGGAAGTAAAAAAATAATAATAGTAATTAAAATAGAGCATGAAAACAATGAAAACAATAATAATAATAATAATAATAATAATAATAATAATAATCATAATAATCATAATAATAATAATAATAATTATTATTATTATTATTATTATTATTATGACAATAGTTAAAATAATAATAATAATAGTAATTCATTCAAATAGGTAAGTTGGTAATCTTTATATTGTAATTTAATATTCTTTACAATTTTCCTCTAATATATTTTCTTTCCTTTTCATATTTTAATACTTCTCTTTCTTTTATTTCACTTCATATTATTTTCCCATTTTCTTTCATTTCCCATTCACTGTTTACATAAACTTAATATCCTTACCATTCTACTTTTTCATTCTCTCCTTTTCTTCAATTCGATTCTTACCTTTGTTTCATTCTTTCCTTTCCTTCCTTTAATTCATTCTATTTTCTTTTCCTCTTTTATAACCATTTTTCTTCCCCTTTGTCTTTTCTTTTCTGTTGCTTTTCTTTTCCATCCTTCATTCAAAAGCCAATCTCTTGCAAGTAGCCTATCAAAGATCAGTGTGCGCATCTGAATACTGTAGTTGATTTTGCTGAATTACGATATGTGAATATGTATCTGTTAGAGTATTGCTCCGCTCCACTGATTTATGTGACAATGTGAATTAGGAAATAAATTGTCTGGTTTTCAGGTATCGGTTGGGACAACCTACGTAACGTCTTTATGGGCATGGTGGTAGAATACAAGTACAAAACATGTACTTTAACTGAAGACGAGCTATATCTGATACCTGATGGAATGTTTACGATTCCAACCAAAGAGAGCCAGGTAATAACAAATTGTATAGAAATTTCTTTATGTTGATGGTTTTAGCAAGTTTCATTTGGACACTCGCGTAAGAGGCTGTCATAATCAGTTGAGATGCTGAATGAAGAATGCTGGGGTGGATGTAGGATTAGATTTAGAGGATGCGAGTAGTGTGAAAAGAAAATTGAGTCTTAGAGAAATGCGTGGGTCCACGGCGAGGTGGGTACAAAATTGTAAATCCTCCTTGAATTCTTAGAAAGCATATTTAAGCTCTGTATACACTATCAAATTTTCTTTGACAAAAATTTAGAGGATGCGAGTAGTATGAAATTAATTTTAAACTTTTCTAATGTAATTATTTGAATGTTTTGATATTTCTATATGTATTTTTAATTTTGAATTAATTGACGTTTTTGAAATTTAATTATAATAATATGGTGTGTATATATATATATAATATATATATATATATATATATATTGTAATATGGTATTAATTTTTAACTTTTCTACTCGAATTATTTGAATGTTTTGATTTTTCGATATGTATTTTTCCACCAGACTTGTTTTCCTATGTTGTCTTTATTTGTTGATTGTAAACAAACGTTTTCAGCCTTTGGCTGTTGTTTTGTTTTGTGTGTTATACCTTAATAAATAAATAAATAAATAACCTGATGTATGTCCGTATGTAGCCATGATATGCCCATATGGTAATGGTGTGATGTCATTATGACATACTTCGGCATGTCACATTTTTTTGGTTAAATATAATTTGTTAATCTGGACAGAGCTTTATGGAAACGGATTGTGCTTCGAATTGTGGTCTTCGAAACGCCACTGCAAATCTGGGTGCACAGCAAGCTGATATGTTACATGTTCTCATAAGCCTATGTGTATGTGGCATCGAAATTAATAACGACGTAAAATTTTAAGAGTCAATTCTAAAAATTGTAGATTTACAAGACGAGATAACCGATTGCTATTCTTTGTGTCTTAGGTTGATATTTATGCTGAATTTTTTGAAAAATGGTCAAGCTATAAAAGTGCATGGTCAGCATCTATTAATGCGCAGGCCTCATACAGAAGTATCATCGCTTCGGTGAGTGGCAGCTTCTCTGTAGATGTGAAGAGGAATAAACAAAGACAAGTCAGTGGTGAGTCAGTCACAACGCGTGTGCAAATGCGTCATCGACTTTACAAAATTTTTCTGGGATCAAGACTAACTCTTAATAGAGAATTTAAATCCCTTGTTATCGAAATTGGAAACACCTTGGCAAACAGTGAAAACGTGCTGGCAGAGTACCTCGCCGACACACTCGTACGCGACTATGGTACCCATGTACTGACGACAGTTGATGCTGGCGCTGCCATTATCCAGGAATCGCAAATAAAGAGAACACTGATGTCTACTTACTCCATGGATCAACTATCAGCAATGGCCACAGCTTCTGCGTCTTTCCTTCGCGGCAGGATTTCGGCAATGGTATCATTAGAGGCTAGAATCAATGCTCAATCTATGAAATCTTTCCAAACCAGCACCACCAATTCCCACATCGAGAGTTATGGAGGAAATATTTACAAAACAGATGTAGATGACTGGGAAAGTAGTATAAAAGAAAACCTTGTTACCATAGACAAGGCTGGGGAGCCGTTACATACCATCATTACATCAAAGAATATTGAAAACCTGCCCCCATTCCTTGTACGACAGGTATCTATAGCAGTTGAATCGGCTATTTCTAGGTACTATGTGATGAACACCATCACAGGCTGCACCGATATCACGTCACCTAACTTTAACTTTCTTGCTAATAGGCCTAATGACATCAGTGACATGAGTGACTTATGCACTACTGATAGTGCTACACCCGACATTCATTTTAGATTTGGTGGGGTGTTTACAAGATGTATGCCTCCCCGTATTCGCAATTCTAAGATATGTGACAGACTAAAGAAAAATAATCCAAAAACTAATACAGATTCTTGTCCCACAGATTACTATGATATCATGGTTTTTAGGGAATCAATGCCCGAGCGCTATTACGTAAAAGGGAAACGCTACACAGCTTATGCTCAAATAAGTGTCTACTGGTGCGCTGGAAGAGAGGCAACAGTAGAGGAAGATTGGAATGTATTTGATTATTTTAACTATTTTGGGGGCATGTACACACATGTGACTCCAAATCCTTTTACGATGACCCGGGGTTGTCCCCAGGGTTTTATGCCATTACCATTGGGGAGTGATCTTAACGTCTGTGTTAGTGACACAACCGACTCTCAAGTAGAGTTCGGTGGATTCTTTACTTGTAAAGTCGGCAACCCATTTGCAATAGAATTAGCATCGAACATCGAAGGTAGGCCTAATTCGAACTACCCAAAACATTGTCCAAAAGGCTTTGGGTCACTTGTAGCCACCATTAAAAATAATTGTCAGATTATGTATTGTATTAAGTACAAATCTGAAATGAAACGATATTTCAATACAGCTACTCCAGAGATCTCAATAAAACGTCCACCGTATATACATCATCCAGAGCCCTCTGCCAACGCTACCAATACGATGACGTTTAGTGATGAAGGATATACGTGGAAGAAAGATGAAACTACTGGTGAATGGACGAAGGACAAAAAGACGTCGAGCTTATCAGGATTTCTTGCCGCTAGTCTTGCTCCTACTAATGCTGCATCATTACCATCGACAGGATTTCTTGCCGCTTGTCTTGGTATAATAATGCTGCATCATTACCATCAACAGGACTTCTTGCCGCTAGTCCTCCTACTAGTGCTACATCACACCATTGTCCTACATCGTCGTGTATTTGTACATAACAGCTTATACAATTGATACGGTAGATAATATATTATTACGACATTCTTATATGTAATGAGATGGCCTCGGCTTATCCTTTAATATATGATTATAGCAGAAGCCTGCATGTCGGTGAGGAAATTACAGAATAATAGGCCGCATATATTAGGCCTTATTCCGAGTTACACAAAGCATAAATACAACTTACATAAATACAATACAATATATAGGTCTCTTATACACATCT